TTTCCGCTGCTATTTTTGCTGAATAGGTGCAATTTGGGTACTGTGACGTTATATGTCCTTCCCGCAGTAAGCCAGGGGAAGACATATATGTCCTTGCCGCAGTAAGAGGGTTAATAGTCGGGCAGACACAAAACTGAGGTTGCTATAGTTACAAAACTAAGTCGGTGACCCCCAATTTTTTTCATCATATTTTGTTCCTCAAATCATGAAATACCTTCACACAAAATGTTAAGGAAAAATCACTGGTTGAACTGAATAGGCTGTTTGGTCTTTAACCCTCTTGCTGCAGAGTTTATTTCTTGTTTTATCGCGCCAAAAGCATCTTGACGTTTCATATTTGTGACGTTGCAAAACTTGTGCCTCTCTGTAGATCTCTGTAGAACAGCGCTTTCCCGCCGTCCATAATTTTTCCAGCGTCAATTTAGCCGTAATTAGGAAAAGCGATGTAAAAGTAATTTTATAAAAAATCTTGCTGTAGATTGTCATAAACTATGTTTTTAATACAACATTATTTAAAAAATACAACTTTTAACCTTGAAAAATATTTTTTTTATTTCTTATCTTAAAAAAATGAAGATAATATACTGATTGCTAATAATTTGATAAGCGCTTTTGTTTTATCTTTGTCAAGTGAAATGCATAACTGATTCTTAACCACTTCTAAATTACTAGAATATATGTATCCTTGTTATCTGATTAGCTTAGTAAACCTTATTATAATTGACAAATACCGTTAAGAATCTCTCAAATATCTATATAAACAAAACAACAGCCCCCAATAAAAATAAAAATAAAAAAATGCATGTACAAATATAAATAAAACTCCGGGCAGCCGATTCTATGAACTACTTCATGTTGTAAAGTATTATATGTGTCAGATTATTTTTTTCATTCCAAGCCTTGTTTCTGAAGGCGAGGAAAGAATTTTTAAACGTTATTATACATCTTCATTTTGTTTATTTCTTTATCATGTTTATTATTATTTTGTTGACCACTTATTGCTCAAAATTTTAGAGAAATGTTTGAAATTTATATGAATTTGAAAAACAGAAAAACGAGGGAAGAAATTCTAAACATAGCCAGAAATTAGTAGTACTTTTGCTAATTAATATTCATAATGTGTAAATTGGATTGTACCACGTGATAATAGTTTGAACTGGACTGGCTTGATATCATTAAAATCTTTAAAACACGGATATTATAAGTTGCCCGCCACAGAGTCCTTGTTTATGATCACTCTGATATTTCCGTAAAGTTGTCAAGCGGTCAAAATCAAAACAATGAACGCGAATTTAGTGAATTATTCGTGTTTTTGTGAGTTTACTCTTCTTGAAAAAGGGGCATTATAACTTTACGTGGGAACCTAGAGTTCAAAGACTACACATACAAGGTTTGGACTTGCTTATTGTTTGGACATTCAAGTTTCAAGTTTCATCCCCGCAACCTGTTTTTGTAATGACCTTGTTAGACAATTTTCAACTCGAAGTTTGCAGATTTGAAGTTTCAGCCATTTTAGCCTGTATTTTATAAGTTGCAATGTTAAAAGCCTCTCGCTTCGATTTTTAAATAGCTCAGGAACCTTGATTTTTGCAACGACAGTCATTATGTTTCGTTTAAATGGTGTATATTGTTGTGTATATTTATTTTCTGTCCCCGCAACCTGTCTATCACTTAAGTTAAAACAGACATTTTTTTTTCAAAATTCCCTATCGTTCAATATAATTTCCGTGACCCGTATCCGATTTCTTTAGTATATATAATATTCAAATAAGCAAAGTGGCGTTGATTTCTGGATATGATTAATTTCTATTGTCTACATGAGGGGCCTGATGGGGGGGGGGGGGGGGGGGTCTCATCACAATTCACGAGTTGATTTTTTTTGTCAATCACGATTCACAGAAAATAAATTTCCATGATCACGGATCACGAAAATATAAAAAGATTATCCTTAATCAATCTCGATAATAGAGATTCAGAAGCTGGTTGTTTGTGTTGTAGATTGGTTCAATTAAGCTACAATCAAATACATTACTGGCTCATTACTTGTTTGCGTGTTGAATTCTTCCAGGTTCTAAATTAAATCGTTAAAAACAGTCACATTCTGACTTCTTGTATTGTATCATATAATATTTCATAGAAGTGTTTTACTGGCGTAGAATACCACGGAACCACGTCTGTGTTTTATCTTGAGACTAAACTCAGAGACTATATAGTATATATATATTTATTTTGCCAATAAAATTTACTGCTGAGCCTGATTGTTCTCCCACTCCTGCTGGTTGTCCCTTGAAGAAAACTAAGACATTCTGGGGTGTCAGTAGCATTGTCCGTTTCTGTAAGTATTTTCCAGGCTTTGTAGATAGTTTGTTAGTCTGTTTTTCAAATCTGCAACTGTTCCATTTGTTGGGATATCTCGTTTTCTAGCTTCTTCAATAAGTTCGCCTTTTTTTTTTTAGTTTTTTCAAGTTCAATTTTCCTGTGTTTTTTGGGTAAACTAAAATTGTTTTGTTGTGTTCACAAATGTACACTGTACCCTCAATATATGCTACACTTCTTGCATCGCTGTATTCCAACAATTTTAACTTCGGCTTGGACATGCTGTCTTATATCGAGTAATCTCGAAGAAGAAGTTTTCGGATTGTGATCTATAACGTATAGGGTCCCTAGGTTTGCAGCAGTAATGGCAATTGGATGTGGATACAGTCCAACCTTGTTACTTGCGCTTATTTTGTACTTATCAGGGATTATTGTGTGTACTATACCATGCACGGATTCAAGAAATGTAAGAACAGACGATTTCGTCAATTGAAGTATACAATTGATATCCATTCTATCCTTGTGAGTGACCGAATCCCTGGGTAAAATTCGTTTCAATTCTGCATGTGCATCTCTAACAGTGTGTACAAGTGGTAGACATGATCTTTGCGTATCCAACAAAATGGGCCAGTTCGCAAAGCTTGCTTTCAAACTTTTGCCAACATGCATTGCATCAGGAAGAACAGCAAATATATATTTTGATTCCAATATACCAGCCTCTTGGTCAGATATCAACAATTCGAATGCCGTTTTGTTGCCCTGTTCACAATCTGCCGTGATGACGAGAACAACACCCCTTTTACATTGAACACCGTTTTCAATACACCTATTGCATGCACGAATTGAGGGAATATGGCTCAAATGGTTATTGTTTTTACAGGCGTCACATAGTTTGCCTTGTTCAGTGCATTCACTGCAGCTGCTAACACAATGAGAAACACTGTCCTTGTGTAGGATATGTCGCATACTAGTCGCTTGTTGCAAACATCCGAGACATGTTTGAACTATACAAACTTCGTAGGGAAACTTGGATTTAATGTCTTCCCCTGTTTTACCAGATTTTGGTTTGTATGTCACTGCAACAGGGAGACTTACATTATTGTCAATTGTAGAAATGTAAGTGATGTCTGCATCTGTTACAACATTCTGTCTAAGGAAATCTGGATCCGGATTCGAATTTTTTCGAACAAAGTCGAAACTAGCCGTGTCCTTAAGACCAACATTGACCTTTTGGTGTTCATCATAAAGTATGCTAGGTTTGAGAGCAGTCCCATCATTTGCCATCGTAAGCCCAATTACTTTAACAGTTGACGATTCTACTAAAGGAACTACTTTACTATCATTGGTTGCCAGCTGTAGCATTGATATTAGCCAAGGTTTTATAACGCCACTTTCTGTTGTATAGCCAGATGACCTTTTTAATCGAGCGTGAGACGAGGGCCCACCAAAATTAAGTTTTGCGTCATCTGGATTTTTCAATCCACCCGTGCCTGTTCCGTGCCACATTGGTCCACGAAGGAAATTAACAGTTCGTTCTCCTCCAAGAAATGACCTAATTGCACTTTTAAAACTATCGCGCCACTTCAACTTTTTAAGCCAAGAAAGACAACTCATTGGATCTCTTTATTTCCAGAACAACGGAAAAAAAAATCACGAGAACGAAATATATGTCTTAATCACGAAGAACGAATTAAAAACTCCAATGAAAACGATTCACGAACAATGCTTTCATCACGAATCACGAAAAATAAATCTGTAGAAAAACGGATCACGATAGCGAAAATGCGCCAATCACGAAGAACGAAAATAACCCATCAGCCCCCTCCTACATGTGAACCCGAATCAGTCATTATTCATGACTTGAAATATTATATTTTTATTTTCATTTTCTATGATCAAATACACATTGTAATTGGCATACATGAAATATCTTTTAAAATTCGTTGATTGATAAATTGTTGTTTGCTCATCGTTCAGTGGCAGGGTATTTCATGCAATATTAAGGACGACTAAGATCTAATGAACAATAAATCTGTTGCTCAGTAGGTCCTACAAAGTAAAAGATCTGAGATGAATGGCTAAAAATTGAGATTGCCACTGGGAAAGGATGATATGTTGGATAGGAAGCGGAGAAATCGTTGGGTCACCTACTAATTTAACATCCCCATTTCGAATGAAAATAAATATTTTTAGATTATTGCTTCAATGACGAAACAGGTATAAAATGTATATCGTGTTACATTTGTGTACCTTTACAAAAAAATAGCTAAGAAGTCAATCGCGGCATTCAAGTTGAGCCCAACACATATTTTCCAGTTCTCTTAAATAAAGCGTGTATTGTGAATACTAATGTTTCGCGTAATCAAGTATAACAGTTACCTTTTCTGTGATTATTTATTAGGAATTAAGATATTCTTATTAAAAGATATATGAAAAGAACTTTTAACAAATTTCTCGAAAGTATGCGACATTTTGCATGAAAATGACGAAGTACATAATTAGTAAACACGTTAAATAAGTTGGTATTATAGTACTAACAAGCTTATGATCCTGTATCATTTGTTGACATCCGTTCTAAGTATACAAATAATGACCTCAATAATGCATTTAATTCAGTTTACTTCATTCCCGCCAAAATCGTCCTTTTGGCGCCGTCTTTTGACGTTGTCAGTGCTCTTCTGTATTGTGACGTTACCATGGACATTTGACGTTCTACACAATCAACAAGTTTTGTGTGTAGACGCCATAAATGTCCCTTTGGCAGCAAGGTTAAGGTAAGAAGGCAGACTTGTATGCTCTATGGTATTTTATTTTCTAGATAAATGGAAAGGGAATTAAAAAAAATATATATATTTAGTCTCCTCGCTTTGATTTATCAGCAACAGGTGTTGAAGTAAAGGTTTGTACTATATACTTAGGCATCGTTCGAATCAGTTGCGTAACACCTCGCGTAAGCCGTAACACACACACACAGATTGTTTATTGATATTTTGCGTGATATTATCCTATTCAGTGTTTCCTTTTTTTCATTTACAGCTCAAATGGTTATCTGTTGACTGTTTACAACAGTATGGAATTTGCTAAAATGCTATACTGTGCTACTGTTTTGATATTCGGATGTATTATGTTGTCGTCTGCTTGCAAACTTTCCCCAAAAACTATCCTGAGAGTCGAGAAAAAGTTGAAAGAAGAAATTAACGGTCAAGAAAAGCTGCTAAAAATAAATATAGCGAAGATACTTAGAAAAAATTTAGTCAAGAAAGGTATGGAAATAATATGAAACAAGTTTAAGAAATTAACCAAAGTCTAAAAATATCATTTCGCGATACCAAGGACGTATATTAGATGTCAGTTATACGTCCTTGGCCACACCTGGGACATAATATATTTGTATAATAGTCCCAGGCCATACAAATAAAAAGTTGTTGTTTGTGGAAGATTTTTCTGGTGGTTATATCGGTTAACTTATTCACAATCGATTTTATACTATTGTAGAAACACCGGTCTATTTTTTTTTAATAAGACACATGTCTACTTTTGAAGATTGTATGTTTTCTCTAAGTAAGTAAGTAAGTAAAAAAGTAAGTAAGTCAGTAATCTTTATTCAAAGTCGGGTTGCATATATCATAATGACAATGAACATGAGCTCTTAAGAGCTCTTTAACCGACTCTCTACTATATGTCTTTTTTCTTTTGGTTATTGCGCGAACACCTGAGGGTTCACGTATATATATTATAAATAAGAAGATGTGGTATGAGTGCCAATGAGACAACTCTCCATCCAAGTCACAATTGGTTGTTTTTGTAGTCTACTGTCTTTTCGGAATACATCTGTTTTTTTTTCTATGGCCACCTGCCGTCCTACGTATTATGTAATTGATCTAATGAATCATATTCATTAGCGTTTTACCACAGGCACTTGTCTCTGAAAAAAAAATTCCCATATACCTAAAATATAACAAGGTACTTAATTCGCATTTTTGAAAAATGACAATAGTATCAGAATTGATCGAGATTATGGGTAATGTTAACTGTGATATTACTGATAGGCTTGGACTAAGGATGTTACTTGTACTTTAATAGGTCAGGTTTAGGAATTTTTGTCAGATGTTCGGACTCCTTGGTTTTTTTCCTACGATACAGCGTAAAATATTTTGCCCCATAACACCCATTTTTCTTTCATATATGACTTCAATAGCTCATAAAAGGTCATTTACAAAATTTAAGCAGATTCTAGGTTTCTTTTCTTTCCATTTGAGACCCAAATAATGTAAAGCAAAATTTTGTCCTATGAAATATTGTCCCTTAAGACAATATTTCATGACAATGTATCATGAAATATTGTCCTCATCTATGAAACAATGTCCAGAGAAGGACAAATTTCTATTGTGCAATTTTTGTCTGTATATAGACAATATTTCACAGATGAATACTATGAAATTTTGGCCTTCTTTTACTTTAAGGGTCTCGACATTTTTGGATTTTACTTTAGGGGTCCCGCTCAATAAAAGTTTTTTTTTTGTAATAATATTAAACATTTACTTCTTTACCTGTTGTAAGTGTATCAAATTACATCCTCACATCCTTTAATTTGGTTTCTGATGTATAGATATTGAGATCGAGAGTTTATTTTGTAATAAAACAAATTGGGACCCCTAAAGTAAAAGAGTGCTATAATGCCTTCTTTTACTTTAGAGGTCCCGCAATTTTTGTATATTACCTAAGGAGGAACCCATAAAAGTGTTTTACTGTAATAATATAAAATACTTACTTCTTTACATGTTGTAAGTGTATCAAATTTTATATCCTCATATCCTTTTATTTGGTTTCTGTCGTATTTTTGTGATAAAAAATGTTGGACCCTTAAAGTAAAAGAGTTCTATAATGCCTTCTTTTACTTTAGGCGTCCCACAACCTACCGTATATATAGGTAATTTTGACGAGACCCCTAAAGTAAAAGAGTGCAATAATGCCTTCTTTTACTTTAGGCGTCCCACAACCTACCGTATATATAGGTAATTTTGATGAGACCCCTAAAGTAAAAGAGTGCAATAATGCCTTCTTTTACTTTAGGGGTCACACAACCTACCGTATATATAGGTAATTTTGATGAAACCCCTAAACTAAAAGAGGGCAATAATGCCTTCTTTTACTTTAGGGGTCCCACAACCTACGGTATATATAGGTAATTTTGATGGGACCCCTAAACTAAAAGAGTGCAATAATGCCTTCATTTACTTTAGGGGTCCCACAACCTACGGTATATATAGGTAATGTTGATGGGACCCCTAAACTAAAAGAGTGCAATAATGCCTTCATTTACTTTAGGGGTCCCACAACCTATATACATGCCAATACTATATAAACAATAAATACACCAGTATATACTATAACAACAGCACAATGCATTTAATATAAATACACTTTATATTGTGGGACCCTCCATTATTTAACAGTAATGTTGGGACCCCTAAAGTAAAAGAAGGCCGAAATGTTGTCCTGTTAAAAGGGAGGTTATATTTTGTGTGTATTGAGACACTATTTCATAGACAGATTGTAGTGAAATTTTGTCTCATGGAGAGGAGGTTATCAACATATATCATGTTGGATAATGATATCATTAAAGTGTGTTTTTTTTATTGATGATAACAAATAAACACATTACTATTTGAGTTACTCCTGAATCTCCAAAACGCTGTTGCAAAAAAATTTGTCAATCTAGTATTTGAACATAAATTAGTGATTGTCAGTACATTACTTAATATATTCATACAGTATGCAGTATACACTCTACAATTCTATCTATTAACCATTCATAAAGTATCCATGCAAAAATGAAACTAGCTTATGTTAAATGAATATTAGTTTGAAATATAAAATACTTACTTCACAAAATAATTTTAGATATTAATCTCATGTGTACTGTTTTTAATTTTGTAACAATTTGATTAAGAAATATTTTCATGAACAGTATTTCACAGTGAAAAATTGTCATGGACAGAATTTCACAGTGAAGTATTGTCATGGACAGAATCTCACAGTGAAATAATGTTAAAGACAGTATAATATTGTCATGGACACTATTTCATAGTCAGGGGCGGGTCCAGGTGAGGGCGTAATGGGCGTACGCACCCCCCCCCCCCCCCACTTAAAAAAAAAAAAAACTATCGTAATCTGCTAATTTATCATATTCATTAATTATTGTATGTTTTTTAGCAAAAAAAAAGGTTCAAAAATCTTTTCGCCTCCCTCCGCTCGGCGAAATATTTCATTCTCGCCCCCTCTTTCAAATATCCTAGAAACGCCCCTAATAGTGAAATATTGTCCAAAATGAAGCGACAAAATTTCATGGACTAGGACACTATTTCATAATGCAATATTATCCTGGACAGTATTTCATTATGAAATAGTGTCCACAGACAATATTTTTTATGAGATTTTGTCCGACGGACAATATTTCTTGGAGAACAATATTTTATGTTACAATAATACCAATGCAACTATAAGGTAAAAGTCCGAGTCTGACAGCCTTTTTCCGCCATTTAAAAAAAAATTAAATATCTCAAAAAGGAGCTGCATAACCTATAAATATTTTTAGCTTATTTTGTTCCTTAAGTTAACTAATGCTCTTCTGACTTATAGTATCAATTTTAAAATCTAGATTTTTATATTTCATTTAAGTACATCCTTAACCAACAGCACACCTTGCGGTCAAAAGGGGGATGAGCAAGGGCCTGAAAACAGTAATAACTAAGATTGAAATTGTTTTGAGATCTTCTTTCTTTAAACAGTCGGAAAGCTGACCCCGGTTTGACCCCATTTCTTAAAGCAACAATGGAAGTCATGTGATTACCATATATGGGCATTTTTTTACCAAAAAAAGGTGAAGCCCGTTTTTTGGAATTTGTAGTTTTTTGCATAAATTAAAACTAATTTGCTTTTAAGTGAACATTCTTGAGTATATATAAGAAATATATTGATCCACTCAATTATGGATTAAACTAGTTTTTTCTCTCAAAATGTGTCTTCAAAGTCTAGGTGTTGACCAAAAAAAATCGGTCACTGGAAATTAAAATCGTACTTTTCTTTCTTAACTTCTCGGGAAGCTATGCTGAATTTAAATTATGTTATGTAACATAACTTTGACTATGATATGTCAAATTTGTGCCACTTAATACGGTGTAATACGCAAATGTGCCACTTCGATATTTATATTTTGGTAAGTATTTAATTTATACTGCTGTAACCAAATTATTTCAACACAGAAATATATTTCTACTTTAATCATACAAGGGGTAGCCAAAATATTCATGAATAATGGATCAAGACAGGATTAAAATGATCAAATACAGGAACTCCTTTTCATTACTGATACCTGATCCTACCTTTTTCATTTAAACTCAAACGAGACCATAATGAAAGTATTCTGAATGTAAATTCTTCATCATTTGAAATAAAAGGAAATTAGTTTGCAATTCTTGTATGAACAAACTAAATGTAACAATAAATTTTGTCTCACTGATTCCATGAAGATTCTAATGAATGGACTCAAATTATAAAAAAAAAAAAACACTAAACCAATAAATAAATGGTTCTAATCATGAACTTGAAAATAGATAAGAACAAAAAAGACTGGGTCTAATATTTTTCTTCTTCTATTTAATTTTTTTTAACAATTATGCATTTTTATATTTATGTAAATTAAAGTATTTCAGAGCAGATTCTGAGTGCTAAGTCAACAATATTATGTTTTAGATCACAAGCCATAAGTAAGTCACACTTCATGTCAGTATGAACATGCTTTGAATAAGAGTGATTAAAATGCTAGTCTGAAAGAGATTGTTTTAAGTTCATATTTAGGACAAGACTTTTTCATTTACCTTTGGCAATTTTGCAAGATTACTTCATCACAAATTTTTTTATTATATTATAAACGATGAATGAGTTTCGGTTAAGGTTGTGTAAAGACAGTATACAATTTCCTTACCTTGTTTTAGTTAAGTCAAACAATTCACTGACTTAAAAGAGAATAATTAATCCAGTCAAATATTCACAACTGAACTCGCCATTGCTTTTTCAAACAAATACACTAAATGTGTGTACATTGTGTAAAGATGCAAGTTGACATCGATGTGTAAGATAAAAAAACTACAATGTCAAAAAATGTCTTTCGTTTGGAATTTAGTTCGAATGGGGTTTCCTAAGGGGTGATAGAACGTTAGACTTGATTTTTGTTTTAACTTTGAGATACTTATTATTAATT